GGCGTGTGGCACCGCTTTCAGTTCCGTATGCATATCCAAAAGTGTGTCTTCACAATGCCTCTGCAAATGCCAGCGGTTTTGGCAAAACATCCGAGATAATCCGAGCACAAACCTGTGCCAGAGACTATACAGCACCCATGTGTGGCACTAACCCTTCACTCTTCATTAAGTTGTCTGTCTTGACCCCAGCACACGCCTTGCCACACTGAGCTACTTCTCCTTAGTCGCACAAGGAGTGGCGATGGCTTCCCGTCATCCCAAGCCAAAGGACACTGCACATAGGCCAAAATGTCTTGGATTTCAATCAAATGCCATTGGCCATGGCCAACCCATACCAGTCATTGCCAAAAACCCTTGAAAGTGATCACACTGCTTGCCCGGCGTCATTTGGAAGTGGCCCGCTCCCAGCTGAACGGACGCGTTGAACCACAAAGCTACGGAGCGAATGCTGGAAAAAGATTCTGCTCCTCAGGCAATCTACTGATCTAGATTCTTAACAGATTCAGAACTGAACGGCATGTTCTACTCGCACATGTGCAGCATTCTCCAACCTATGAGCTCATGAACTGCCCAGAGCCTTGAAGTACTGCCCTCGTGTTAGAAAAAGAGACGAAAGCCACAGGTTGAAGCCGGTCTGCATGATCATCTGACCTCCAGCAGCGTTACATCAAAGCCTAAAGGTGTGATCCAGCAAGGCTCTTGAAGGTGAGACTTGCCTATGGTCATCACAAAGTGCTGCAGGTACGGAGCAAAGAGCTGAGTAACCTGAGTCATGTCTCTCCAAGGCGCATGGTTCAATCCTTGTCCTTGCCGAGGTCTCCACCAGAAAGATGCCCTCAGATGCAAAAAGGGATGGGCGTGTCATGACGCAAGACTAGTGGATGTTGGTACTTGGTGCCGCTGAGGTTGAGGCAGGAAATGCAAGAAAATACAGCCTTAAATTCTAACTACTCGAGCACACAAATGATTCAAGCAAATCCTAAAGTACAGTACAATGCGAAGTCTCACGTCAAGAAACGACCCTGCAATTCTGAACTGCTGCAAAAAGTTTGCAATCTTCATGCCACCCTTGCAGGATGGAGAAAGTCTGCTCTGGAAATCCAGCAATCTCAATTCTCAATCAACCGGCTCAAAATGCACAAGGCGCCGCCTCTCTAGCAGATGATTGGACAGCCCAGAGGAACCAGCCATAGAGACCCAACCTTTGATCACGGTTGCTCAAGCAAATCAAGAGGGCAACCGGTGTCGGGCCTCATCACCAGCAGGATCCAGCCAATCACCCCTTCATTTTCGTGATACTTGTAGGATGCATCGTCCTGAGCTCAGCAACTCCCCCTCCAAGAGCAGAAACAATACTTTACAATATCACATCACACGCCTTGATCTTGCCAAAGCCAACCAGCATGATGTGTATGACCCCAATCCTTGGAAAAGCAAACTGCACGATTTTGCAGTTTGTCGGCTTTCTCATTTGAGGTGGCATGTGGGCTGCTTGACTTCTGCCAGGCATCATGAAGCACATTGGGATCCTTAGAGCAGTGCTACAGCCAAAGCCATTTTGTGGCCAAAGGGGCGTCTTGCCCCGGTGAAATTGACTGCATGCAATCAAGGCTCATTAAATCTAGTTCTCCAATCTTGGACTGGAGAAGAGTGTAACCAAGCGCTATCAAGATCAGCAGGGATGTCTGAATCACCTGCCGACCCCACTCCCCCGTTGAACCGCAGAAACAGTGATCCACCGAGCCTGCGCTAGCATGAAAAGGATCTCGGAGAGGACTTCACAGGCCTTGAGCCCATCACCATCGTACTTGTAGGCGAACAGGTGAATTGTATGCATGGTCTGTCGCAGACGACGGACGGCGGATCGCGCTGAAGCTAGATTGCTTATGTTGCCCCACCCAAGCGGGCACATGCCTGTGCAACAAGCTGCGTGATCATTCCTTGGAACAGCGGCCAGGGGGCGTCGCTGTCCAAATGACCGGCTAACTTCAGACTAGCTTCCACACGCTAGAGTCCAAATGACCGGATGGACATAGCCTGCGCTTTTTGCAAAGGCCAAGGTCCTGAAGGCGTGGACGGCCAATATGTACTGTCACACCTTTTCTACACACTTGCCACGGGAAAACCTGTGCAATCTGACTGCTTCAAATCTCAGTGTTGGCGCAATAGCACTGAATGTCCTCTTGATGAACCAATGCATCATCACTACGAAGGATGCCAAGAAAAGAACCTGAGGTGATAATGGCCCCTCGCCAACATGAAACTCCGTCTGCAATTGTTCACTGAAGATTGTCAGGGCAAATATGTAGTCTCAAGAAGCATTGGCAAGAAGCATGCCCTTCCTTGGCCGAGCCCAAACAATGTTGACATACGAGTTGGACAAAAATCCAAGATGGAAACATGTTAACAGGAATTGCAGTCCACACCATGCTGATTTCAAAACAGAGTCACAGGGTTTGCACTGAAGGCAGCCGAAGCGTCATCTCAATGCTAAATTCGGATCCATCCGCCTGCTTTGCATGGAATTCGAACTTCAGCCGATGCCTCACAGAAGCTTACCACTCAGCGCGGCGATCGCTCCACGCATCAAGCTTTCTCATTTCTCACGTCCGAAACACATTGTTGGTGGCAGGTGCCACAGTCATGCCACTGAGCGACGTGAAGTTTGCAAGGGTATGCCGGCAATCAGAGAGCACGAAATACCTCAAAACAAAAAGAATCTGGGTCATCTCAAAGCCTGGTGTTTCATGAGGAGCAACTCTAATGTAGGAATTGCCTTGCAAATGCAAGGCAATAGCATACAATTATATAAATGAGCACATATTGGAATGTCGGTTGTGAGCATTCCCCGCCGATGCTGGCACTTCTGTTGCACAACCAGGCCACCATATGTGAGGCCGGACGCTCTGGCTCAAGGTACCTTTGGCAATCTAGCTGCCCGCAGCCACAGATGGCATGATGCTAATAGATTGGATGACTTGCAACCTAGAGGCCACTGGACCAGTCTGTCCAGTTGGAGCCCGGGCCAATTGAGATGTTACGAACCTGCATGATGCGAATGAAACGTGGGGAAGGTCCTTGCCCCAAGTGGTGAAATAGGGAGGGTGACGAGACTCTCTAGAGAGATTGCACATCGACAAAACACAAAGATGCAGCAAGTTTTCGCCCTCACCTGTTTTGCGTGCTTTCGACGATCACAAAGGACAGGCTCCAGCTCAGCTTCAGCCCAATGCTCGTCCTTGCGAGTCAGCGCTCCAGAGGGTTTCAAAAGACTTACCTTCAAAAATGATGTGGAAAGGCTATCCATCTACAATCTAAACAATGTTGCAAATTTTCTTGTTCAACACCAAGTTGCCAAATAGACTTCTAGCTGGATCACCGCAGCTTCGGGGATGCTCTTTGGCGCAGCCAGTTGGAAGCGAAAGTCGAAAGAACCAGTACCTGAACAAATTGTCCCCTCCTGCCTGGTAGCACAACATCTTTGGAATCTGCACGGTTTCTAGAAACTCTGGCGAAATCCAAGCCACCGATGTCATATCCAAATTTGCTCAAATACCTGTCACGGCCAAGCCAATTCCTTATAAAACTAGACGACGAGTGGCCCGAAAGCATTTTTCATCACGTAGGAAGTCAGAGTGTGAGTTAAGTGTTCAGTGTGAAGTGTTAAGTCGAGTGAGTTGAGGCAGTGTGTGGGTCTCTGTGTGTGTGTATCAATGTCTGTGTGTGTATGAGTCTCTGTCTGTGACTCCGAGTAAGTTGAGGCAGTGCGTGGGTCTCTGTGTGTGTGTCAACCTTTTAAGAGAGCCGGGTGGTCGGGAGACATGACTCAGCTGCAGGGGCGCCAGAGCAGCTGCGAGAGATGACTCAGCCGCGAGAGATGACTCATCCGCGTACTAAAGTTGCACTGCAAAGTCACCAGTTCTCAGCTTCCAGCTCCCCAGATACTCCGCGTACTGAAGTTGTACTACAAAGTCGCCAGTTCTCATCTTCCAGTTCCCCAGATACTCCGCGTACTAAACTTGTACGACAAAGTCGCCAGTTCTCATTTTCCAGCTCTCCAGATACTCCGCGTACTAAAGTTGTACTACAAAGTCGCCAGTTCTCAGGTTCCAGCTCCACAGACTGCTCCACGTACTACAGTTGTACTACAAAGTCACCAGTTCTCATCTTCCAGCTCCCCATATGCTCCGCGTACTAAAGTTGTACTACAACTTTGCCAGTTCTCATCTTCCAGCTCCCCAGATACTCCGCGTACTAAAGTTGTACTACAAAGTCGCCAGTTCTCATCTTCCAGCTCCTCAGATACTCCGCGTACTAAAGTTGTACTACAACTTCGCCAGTTCTCATCTTCCAGCTCCCCAGATACTCCGCGTACTAAAGTTGTACTACAAAGTCCCCAGTTCCCAGCTTCCAGCTCCACAGATTGCTCCGTGTACTAAAGTTGTACTAGAAAGTTGCCAGTTCTCATCTTCCAGCTCCCCAGAGACTCCGCGTGCTCAAGTTGTACTACAAAGTCGCCAGTTCCCAGCTTCCAGCTCCACAGATTACTCCGCGTACTAAAGTTGTACTACAAAGTCGCCAGTTCTCATCTT